TTTATAGTTCCAGATGCCATTGGTCAAACTTAACAAAACAGAGAGCCAAATACAGCGTCACTGTTACCCAGGGCCATTTTACATAGTTAGGAGACAGCTTAATCATTGGCTCACACCAAAAGTCAGGAAGTTGGAAGAAACTTAGAAGACAGGTAGAGAGTATTATTGGAGTTTATGCTATTTCTTTGACTGTAGAAGTTTCCCAGAAATTCCTTTTCACAAACTTTTACTTTTGTATACTTTGCCTCTGCCCAAAGAATGTCAATGGCAACTCACACTAAAGGGAATACATACAACATGGATAAAGTAGAAACAATATACAGAAACTAGTAGGATGGTGATTTTATTGGAATATAAACCATTTTCTCAAATATAATTCCTTTAAAACATGAGTGAAAGTGTTGAAATGTATCTTATTTTATTTCTCTTTTTATAACAGTTACCATTCCACATATATGTAGTGAGCAAGATGAAGAACATAAGACTCGGGCTAGTCGACATGATGAAAGGAGTATGGCTTCTTCAGATTATGGTTGAAGTTCATAGTAAAGTTCTCTATAGAAAGGTTTCAGATTACACTATCTAAACTTTAGTTTCTTCATCCTGAAAGTGGGGCTAAGGCCTACTTCCTAAGGTTGCTTTGAACAGCAAACAAAATAACCATGCAACTATAACAGGATATGGATTCATCTCTCAAGAAGTTTGTAAGCAAGGTAAGAAGGTGAAACATACAACAGGTAAGTATAATCCAGAGGTGGAGAGTGATTAGTGTCCTAAGTGTTACCAATACATGTTTTGGGAATTCAGGCGAAAAGAAGAAAATATTTTTCATCTAGGTGGCAGCATAGAGAAAGATTTCCTAGAGGAGTGTGCAGCGTGAGGGGTTGGTCCTTGAAGGATGGAAAAAATTTAGAACTGTAGATAGAGTATGGGCATGCACAAGCAAAGTCATGGTGTGAGTTGATGGAACACAGGTAATAGCCAGTAGACATATAAATTCCTACTTCTACTTCATAGGGCAGCATAAAGGAACAGAATCAATAGAAAACCTACTATAGTTTTTTCTCCAACCAATATTCAGGACAATTAAGAGAAAGGGACTTTTCATATTCTACCAATGTAATGAATCACACCATGGGGAGAACAGTTTTATAAAAGCCCAGCCAAGGACCACTCATTTTCTTCTGCACTTGTTCTGAGAGGCAGAACACCTCTAAAGCGAAGCCCTGGATGTGTCCTGCCCTACCTTTACCCTCAGCCTTGCCAATGATTCTTGCAGCAAGAGTGGCTTCAAGTCTTGAATCCAATTGTAGTTTTGAGCATCCAGGTCACCATATATTGCCTTTTCCCCTTCAACCAGGGGCCACCTCAGGCAAATAACTCATTCTAATTTCCAATGGAAATAATCTCTGTAGTTCAGTCCTTTTTCCAATAGTATTCACTTGGTTTCACTATGCTTTTTTGGCTAATGACAAAGGTTTTGAAAACAAGTTTGGATACAGAGAAAGGGGATTTTTAGTAACACGTAATCTTTAAAATGCACCACATTTTAAAAAAGTAAAATTAAAGAAATAAGAGTCTTAAGAAAAGTATGCAAAATATTAGGATTAATCAAAATAAAGGCGTTAGAGAGGAGACAAAAAATGAACACGGTAAAATAAAGCCCTGCAGCAATTCCAGGCAGTAAAAGGGAAACTACTGAAGTTCTCTTTCTCTGTTGGTATGTTCTTAATTGAAAAAAGTAATTCTCATGGGAGAGTAACACAGAATGGAAAGAGGAAAACAGCTGGCTGTTGGCCATGATTTACCATTTACCACAAAATGAGACTGTTTCTCCTTCTCAAAGTCCACTGTTTTTCCCAAGCAGACATGGATCATACTGACACAAAGCCAATTAACAAGAGACTTAAACAATAAGAAAGAGGTCTAGATGTGTAACTCAGAAGACAGGGCAAGGACACAGAATCAAATTCTGTTCTAAAGTATTATTAAAACAAAAAGTTTGTATAACCAAACCAGCTCTCACATCCTAGCAACAGCTCGCTTACTTCAAACAAAACAAAATATAGCAAAATCTAATTATAAAAACCCTTTGTCTTTGTGATGGTGGGTTTTAACTGGTAATTAATCCCAATCTGTACAACTGATGTGGATGAGCTTTCTTTTTACAAGCCAAGAATTTTATAACAGTATCATCTATCTCAATCACTGCTTAATAAAGACAATCCTCTTTAGTTCTTTTTACATGAAATGTTAATGTGGAAAAATAATGCTTTTCATCTGTCTGGAAGAAATTCTTCATGAAATCAACAATGTAAAAGTTTTGGAAGGAAAAAAATGTCACACATCTTAAAACAGAAGTCATATTAGTTGTATTTAAATGGTTGTGTCTTTGTTCCAACTTTTAATCTGCCTTTTCTCAAGGTACATTCAAACTATTAATTTTCTTGTATAACTGAGTCAAAAAGAAAGGAGACTTGAAAACTAGGTGCCAAAATAGGGTAAGAAGACTGTGCTGGTAAATCAGTTAGTCTTGTAATATTTCCTTCTTTGGATGTGTTAGAAAACAATTGCTAAAAGGAACGTAAATTTCTTTTTGAGAGTATGGCCAAGATTGTGAAATACATTCCTGAGATTTCCAAACTTTTGTACTGGGAAACTTTTTGTTAGAACATCAAATCTATTAAGGGACCCACACAAACTGGAGACAAATAGGACATCTTTGCAGTTTTTTAATAGCTTCCAATTTACCAGGTGAGGATTCTGTTCTAAGAATCATCAGTGAAGACAACGTAGTGAAACAGGGATTTGTTGTACCATGGGATTCTCTCTAAAACCTTTAATTTACGGAATTCTTTTTGGGGTGGTAGAGGCAGAGAGGAGGAGAATTAGAGGAAGTTAAGATTCTTGGTTGAAAACATAACTTTTAAAAGTAAAGTGGGGGATAAAGGAGGAAAACTATACCATATGTCAAGGGCATTATTTATCATAATCCACATTTTCAAACTCTAAGGAAATTGTTTATAAACAACGTCTGCATTTTTCCTTTGCAAGCACATACAATTTTTAACTTTGAACTTTTTTCCCTCAGAATTACTCCTTGTCTCAAAAAGCTTCAAAAATATCTGATTTTTCCTTCCCTATTAAACGGACTTTGTTTTATAAAGCATTTTTTAGCTTCACAGCAAAATTGAGCAGAAAATTCGAAGTTCCTATGTACCTCCCCCATGCCTCCCCATCTCCAAGCAGCCTCCCGGACTACCAACATCCCGTTATCAGTGCTGTACATTTGTCACAAGTGATGAAACACATTGACACATCATTATCCCCAACATACATAGTTTACATTAGGGTTTACTCTCGTTGTTCTACATTCTATGGATTTTAAGGTATAATTACATGTATCCGCCATTTTATAGTATCATACAGAATAGGGTCATTACCCTAAAAATCCTGTGCTTCACCTGTTCTTCCTGGCCAGCCCAAAATATGTTTACTTTGACAAAGTTGTCTTCAAATACTTAAAAGCAAGGACAAGACCCCTCAAGTTTTAGACAAGTACTAAACTAAGTAGCTCTTACCCACTTGAAAACTAAATGAATGTAGTATTCATCAACAGAAAGCTAAGCGAGAAAAATGCTTTCCCCGCTTTTCCCCCATGACAAGCAAGATTAACCAAAAATATCAGTTACTTAAATGAAAAAAAGGAAGAAACCAAATGGAAAGAGAATAGAATGCCATCACGCTACTCTCAACAATTTATGTTTTTCTGTTCCTGGATACCTTTTTGAGTGCCTGCGAATTTTAGTCCTAAGGAATGAAAAAAAACTGTTTTCTCATTTCAAGTTTTTATTGGTCAATAGCTTCCTAACCGAAAACTCTGCAGTCCTAACACAATACTTTCTATCCATTTTCAAAAATCCAATTCTGGGCATAAAATAGAATTAATGCTCAAGTCAGAAACTTTGTGTTTAGAAGATAAAACAAGAATATTAGGAACCATGAGTAAGAGAAAAAACAAACTTTTATTTTTCCCTTCCTCTCTCTGCAAAACTTCCCTATCCGATAAGGGACAGCTAGCTTAAATTTACCACAAAGTAAAATATGAGCAAATCCCCTGGAACGAGGAGAACTTTCGCACAGGGCAATTCACTCGAATGTGACATCAGCATTCCTTCTGAGTCACAGTCTGGTCCCCACCCTTTTCTCCCAGGCGACACCAGGCTCCGCATAACCCGGGAGTGGCTCAGGTAAGGCCATCGGTTCCAATGCCTGCGAGGCAGCAGCCAGGCTGGAAATGTCTCCCTGCGCTGAGACGCTGGTGACAACTGCCCTTTGGGACTCCCTGCCAAACAGGGAGAATGCGCGCTTTGACAGATAATTCCCTAAGAGGGAGGCAGTGCTTCGGTAGACAAGTGATGAATGACCAAAAAAAAAAAAAAAAAAAATCACATTAGAAGTTATCACCAGCACGGGTGCGAAGGCAGTGCATTAAATCAACACTCATTTTATAGCGCCCCAGGCAGCCCAGCTGGAAGGGAGGAGGTCAGAGCTGTCAAAGCACAACAGAGCCCCAAACCACAAAGGCTTAATGAAGTTGAACTTCCTGAGCCAGGAAGTGTCACGGTCTCGCCCGCACTCGCCCTAAGCTCGTCCTTTTGAGGAGGCACAGGCAGAGCTGAAACATCTTAAGTAAAGTTTCCAACACCTCCAACCGCTGGGACTCCGTAAGACGGGAGAGAAGAGCCCCGCGCCCGCCCTCGCTCGCGCTTCCAATTTTGTCGCTCTCAAGTTTGGGGAGCTGGCGGGGCCGGCGGGCACCTACTCTACCCAAGGGGCCGGGTCTCTGGGCCCGGGACACCGCAGACCCAGAGCCGGGCTCACGCCGGGCGGCCCGCAAGCCCCACCCGCCTCGGCACCTCCGGCCGCCGCGCACCGCTCGACCCGCGCAGGTGAAGCAGCCGCTGCCCGCCACGAGCGCCCCCTGGGCACCCCCCTACCTTCTTCACTTTGTTTTCCAGGTCCATGTTTATGCGTCCTATGGGTCCCCTCCTCCTCCAGTCCGGGATCCCACAGCCGGGCTCAGCTGGCCTCCGGTTCCGCTGCGGACACGGGAAACCTGCGGAACTCCCACGCCGCCGCCCAGCAGCCACTCGACCGGCGCCGTCGAACTTCCGCCGCCCAGTCCGCCGCAGCCGGCCTGCGGCAGGGACCCGGGAACAAAGAGGGCCCGGCAGCCAATGGCAGCCGGGCAGCCCCGGGCCGCCGCCAATCACCGAGCGCCGCACGCACCTTCGCGGCCCGAGCTCGGCGCTGGCAAGGTGAAGGGCGGGGCCGCGTCCGGGGCGGCGCCCTGCGGGGCAAGCTCGGGGACCCTGACCTGGTCCCCGGAGGATACTCTGGGCGTCCACGGGCCGCTTCTAAAGAGCTGGGATCCAGCCTCTCTCTAGCTGAAGATAGAGCAGAACTTTTTCCATTTTGGCAATTTGTACCTGTGTTTGCCCAGGACTTTTTATCTGGGTCAAGGGGAATAGGTATCCCAACTTCTCAGTTTATTTTCAAACTAACTTCTCAGTTTATTTTCAGAGCAAAGAGAGAAAAAAAAAAAAAAAGAAAAAGAGAAAGAGAGAGATTGTAGGGATCGTTAGGCATTCCTGTGATGGACCTTGGGCACTAAATTCACTATTGCGTTGTGGAGATGCCCTTTCCTCGATTGCTTTTCTCCAAAATCCCAAATACTGTCAAGGAACCGCATATTACATCCCTAACGTCAGTGAAGATTCTTAGATTGTTTCCTGAGCATTGGGTTGTTCAAAAGTAAAGATGATGTGAATCACTTCAGAAACAGGTGTTATTCCTTTGGAAGTAGAGGGTTGCCCTTTGTGCTGTGTGAAATGGTGCTAGGCCTATGGCGTGCTCAGGCTTTGATGACGCAGAGTCATCACATTGGTGCACCAGAGCTGAACTCATTTCATGCCCCAATTCAGGAGCAATTGCTTCTGATACCTTCAGATTGGTGGGTCCGGAAGGGAGCCTAAGATTACTTAGTCTAGCTTCCTCATTTTGCGGGGAACTGAGGACTCCAGAGGTGCAGGGACCTGCCTAATGTCTTAGCCTGTTGGGGACAGAGGCATTGCTCATGAATCTAAATAACTTCTCAAAGATGTTTGGGGCTGGAAGCAGAGCATGTTGAGTAAGGAAAAAGAGCGGTCCATTTTCTTCAATTTGTGGTTATGTCAAAAAATAACATTGCCCAGACAGCAGGTGACATAATTTGACACCTACTTTTAAAAATAACAAAACAATATAAAACAAACAAACAAAAATTCCCCAATAATGCAGATATTCAGGTCCAGTTGTATGTCTACCTTGCCTCTAGAAATTTGGTAGCTAAAAATATCCAAAATTCATTTTAGCCAATACTTACAACTCTGCTTGCTTGATTATTTGTCAACACAGAGCATTGATTTATAATGTGCATTTTTCCTTTATCCTATTAAGAATTAAAACTGAAATTACCAAAATGAGTTGCGCATTTTTCTTTTCAGTTGATGTAAAACTTTTCTGTGTCATTTTCCCAAATCACCTTGAAAGTTGTGGGCCCCTGCAAAGTTTGCCCTCTGTAAGTGTACAGGAACAGGAGGTCTAGCTATGACAAGGCAATTTTGTTTCTTTCAGAGAGCTTAACAGATGGAAAATGTCCAGTAAAGCAATTTAAATAAGGCATCAAACAAATGTTGTAACATAAATTTTGGACCCTTATTTGATGAGGTTGCAGAGATGACACTAAGAAAACCATCTGGAAACATTTTTTTTTTAACTGTCAACTTCTGCCTTTCTCCCATTCTTCCCTCCCAACTCTCTCACCATTACATTGTGTGTGTATCATTGGCAAGGATGGAAATAGAAATTCAGTGAGTTTTATCTGGAATTATCACTGTGCCAATTATAGAAAAGTAATTATAGATTATGTATAAATTATAAAAATAAAATTGAGGTAGATAAGTGTTAAAAGAATTAAATTGCAAGTTTTTGTTCAGTTATTCAGGTTTTAAGCTACAGTTATTAAGGAGGTAGAACTGGCATGGTTTGATGACTACATGTAGTTGATGACAGTGGAATGAATAGAAGATGGCACACATTTCTATCTTGATCACCTCTATGGATGATGGTTCAGAAAGAGAGAAAATATAGGATGACAGTCAGGGTTTTGTTCAGTTGTGCTTTCTTTGGCGCTGGTGGTAGACATAAAGGATACAATTTTTTAATGTATTAGTTTGAGACTGAGACATTGAAATGAAGTATACAAATATACATCCTAAAACCTGGACTAGAGTGCTGATTTAGGGGTTCACATCCTACATAAATAAATAATTAAAGGCCGAGAAGGAAATGAGCCTGGGAGATAGTAAAATAAAAGAGAAGAATATCAAAGACACCAAGTGAGCAAGGCTGAGCAAGAGAAACACATGAAAGAGACAAGGGCTAGATTATGGGTAAGAAAAAAATTAGGAGTCAAATCCCTGAAATCAAGAAAGGAAATTGAAGAAGAAATTAGTTAACAAATGCCAAATTGTAGAAAAGGCTCAAATGCCCTTTGGATTTAACAAAAAGGAGATCATTGGTGACTTTGGAAAGTGCATTTTTGGTAAAGTTGTGGGGAAAGATATTACTTTACAATTTTATCTCACTTTGTTACCACCAGAGTGCTTTAGTCAATGTTAGACTTGACTTTTCCACAAAACTTATGGAAACATCAGCCAAATAAATGCCCAACTCTGCTGTTTAAATCAAGTAGAGAGGAAATCAATATACTATACTGAATAATACTAAGGAATGTTCTTAAGATCTTTATCCTTAGAAAAGTAAATAAAAATATTAGATTTTACGCATGTGTGCAGGGGCACACACACACACACACAGAGACAGAGGAGAGAAAGAGAGAGAGAACAAAATATTTATTCAGGTCGAATTCAATTTCTATGCTGTCAAATTATAATATCCGATGAGGGAAATGTGTTAAACATTTATGTACCCTTCGTCGTAACGATCACTGGAGAGATGTAAAAATACATAAGACATTCCCTTTGTTCTTTAGCAGTTTATAGATTAGTATGGGAGTAGCAGGCATGTAAGAGTAATGAAGTGTTACAGGTAGAGGGAAGCACACGTGAGAGTCAGGAAGAAGGTGGTATTGGGATTTGTAAAATCTTTAGAAAAGAGTAACCTTGGCTTAGTCTTGGAAGATGAATAAGTGTCTTAGTTAAAACCCTTGATTGCAAGTTATATTAGGCTGTTCTTGCACTGCTATACAGAAATACCTGAGACTGGGTAATGTATAAAGAAAAGAGGTTTAATTAGCTCACAGTTCTACAGGCTGTACAGGAAGCATACCTTCTGCATCAGCTTTTGGGGAGGCCTCAGGAAGCTTACAATCATGGCGGAAGGCAAAGTGGGAGCAAGCACTTCACACGATAAAAGCAGAAGCGAGAGAGAGAGTGTGTGTGGAGAGGAGGATGAGGTGTGCCACACAATTTTAAATTACCATCTCCCCTGTGAACTCAGAGAGAATGCTCATTTATCACCAAAGGGATGGCCCAAGCCACTCATGATCCAAACACCTCCCATTGGGCCCCACCTCCAGCATTAGGGATTACAATTCAACATGAGATTCGGGTGGGGACAAATATACAAACTATATCACAAGTAATAGTAACCCTCGAGCTAGTTTACTTTTAAAAAGGTGGCATTTTATTTTAAGGATACAGAGGTATGTTGCAAAACTCAAGGGCCAGATGCATTTGCAACTAGACCAAGCATTTACTAACATCTGGAACAAGGAATCTATTCCTTCACTGGAGTCATGTGGTCTCTCATCTTGCTGCTTGGCCTCCATCAGCTTTAGCTCTTCCTCTTTGAAGACTCTGTTTTCCTGCACACATGGGCAACCAATAAAGGCAGTCTCAGCTCATTAGTTGACATCACCTTAGTTCAAGCAAAATACCCAGTTTGGGATTTCAATCCCTCTAACAGAGACTTTAAATAGCCCAGCTTGGATAAGCTTAGACTTCTGATTCAATTAGCTGAAGCTGGCGCCAGTTGAGAGACACAAAGGACAACACATAGACTAAAGCCCAAACTTATAAGGAGTAATAAGAGTTTTCCAAATGCCTCCAAGGATATCTATCTCTGTTGCAGATGTTATAAGGAAATTAGCAAAGGAAGAGGCTTAGGAAGTACAAGCAGAAGATTTTTCTTTCTGTCGATATTGGAGAACTTTTTTCCCTTGACTTTTATTATAAGTTTGGGAGTACATGTGCAGGTTTGTTACATGATTAAATTGCATGTCGCTGGGGTTTGGTTTACAAATGATTTCATCCACCAGGTAGTGAGCATAGTACTCAATGGGTACCTTTTTGACCCTCACCCTCCTCCCACCCTCTAACCTCAAGTAGGCACCATTGTCTATTGCTCCGCTCTATGTGTTCTGGTGTACTCAATGTTTCTGAACATTTCAAAAACTATTTAAATTACAGAAACCCCACTTGGGCAAAAAGCTGTAGATGTTTATTTTATTGCTAGGAATAGGGGTGGATAATGAATGGGACAAGTCTAAAGAATAGAAAATTAATCAGGAGATTCTAGCTATAGCCCACAAGAAATATGATGAGGGCCTAAGTAAAGCGGTAGGAATGAGTGTGGAGAGTTAGAAGGATTTATCAATGATATTAAAGAGGTAGAAAATATTGGACTTGACTGATTCTTGAAAAGGGAGAGGATAAGGAATCCATTAGGATTCTATTTTCCTATCTCTTAGAAATCTGTTTTGGGTCACCAACTTGGTGGATATAACACACACCTTGAAGTAAAAAACAAAAGAGGAGAAGAAAATTTGACGGCGAAAGATAATGGGTTTTGTTTCATATGTATTGATTTGGCAAAGCCAATAGGATCTGAGTCTGGTGGACAAAAGAAACATCTGGGCTGAAGATAGAGATGATGCTGCATACACAAGTACACATACATAAACATATGTACATATGCACACATAAATACACACACAGAGTAAACACTACATATGCCAGGGAAAATAATTATTGAAAACTTTTCTATACTGGATGAGGTAAAAATTTCAAGAGGAAAATGATACACCTGTCTCGTCAATTATTAATGTGATCCCAAGAGGCGTCTTTAGATATGTTAATCAGTTATTAACACCTGTCATAGGAACGCCTTTGTGAGTCTGACACAGCTATTATTCCTCATTAGCAGCTTGTATAAGATTGCAGGTTGTTCTCTAGGGGCATTTTTTTTTTCTAAAGAAAATAGGTGTCAATGTAGCTTAGAGCAAATTAATATCCCATAACGTTTTTAATTGACCAAAAATTGGGGACTGGCTAAGTAAATAATTGATGAGCCACATGATAGATTTAGCATAGTTACTGATCAATGATACTTAGGAATGTTTGTAATGGAAAACAATTATAATGTTAGAGGAACAGAATATAATATGGAATTGTATCTACAGTATGCTCACAGCTATACAAAAATACACCATGCATAGAAAAAGAACATGAGGCAAATACACTAAAATGTCACCAGCAGTTTGCCTTTGATTGGTGGTCCATGGGGATTTCTTTCCTCCTTTTAAAAATATTCCATGATTAGTATGACTATTTTAAATGAAAAAACCTTATTTAAAAATATATTATTTCAAACATTTTAGGGGGACAGAGCAGTGGCAGTGTAATTTTCAATCTCTACAAAAGCCTACATTAAGAAACAAAAAAACAAAAACCAGATCCACTAATTAGCAAAACCAAATGCCCAGGGACAAACTTTACAAAAAACTCGGTAATAAGGTATCTTCATAAACCCCAAAACACAAGAGATGAGGGCAAACCACCGAAAGTCACAAGACATATATGCATAAACGATTATGTTTTAAGGAGGGAAGAAAACAGTGGGGTGGTGTCTGATGGATGGCAGAACTAGAATGCTCTCCTCCAGTTATTTATTGTAAAGCATTTCAGGCCAATTTTATAATAGCAGCTGGAAAAGTAAAAAGGATTGAAGGGAGGGAGTGAATCCATCTAGCCCTTGTGCTATGTCAAAACTGACCCTCCAGGACTCTCTTCTAGGACGAGTTTCCACAATCAGAAATTGCTTAGAGAGAAATCAAAATTGAGCAGGATGGGGCAGTAGAGGCAATGGAAAGAAGCCTAGAGGGGCGCCATCCAATTTGGTAGCCACTAACTGCATGTGGTTATTTCAATTTTAATTAATTTTATTTAAGTTTTAATTAGCTAAAATTAATTAAAATTTAAAATTTGGTTTCTCAGTCACACTGACCACGTTTCAAATGTTCAAAAGCCAGAGAGGGGAGCAGTATCAGGAAATCTCAAAAGTACTGCTGTATTTTTGATTTATTTTTATTTTTAGCACTTTATAAAAACAAGGAGGCCAGACGCGGTGGCTCACGCCTGTATTCCCAACACTTTGGGAGGCCGAGACAGGCAGG